TCCTCTGGATGAGTTCTCTGTCCTCCCTTCTTCGAGTAGACGGTTCGGCTGCACTGTAGGGAAAACGTTGCCCTGGTGACATTTACACACGGGAGCACTCCCGTTCACTCATCAGCCTGGGTGCTGCTCAGTCGTTCCGTTCTGTGAAGCCTTTAAGGTTGTCTTCTAAAGCTCAGTTTCCTGGTAAAACTGCTACTGCATTGCTTTTTCATATCACTAAATAACTGGACTGTCCTGGGGTGGAGAGAGAAGCAATCCCTTACGTTCTTCCTGCAGAGGGAGCACAGAGGGGCTGAGCCGGAGACGCTTTTCGGCTGGCATCCGTGCTGAGGGTGAAGCTATGGGCACAAATGCCAGTGTTCTGCCCGGAGCAAAGCCACAGACCCCATGGGCCGCAATGCCCAGGCCTGCTTTCCTCCAGGCGGAGTGTTTCGGATTTCGTCTGGTTTTGTGTTGCAGACTAATTCACAATTTGAGACCTTTTTCTTGAAAACTTTTAAGTAAAAAATATTTTTTTTTTTTTTTTTGAGACGGAGTCTCAATGTCTCCCAGGCTGCAGTGCAGTGGTGCAATCTCGGCTCACTGCAACCTCTGCCTCCTGGGTTCACGCGATTCTCCTGCCTCAGCCTCCTGAGTAGCTGGGACTACACCACCACGCCCGGCTAGTGCTTGTTTTTAGTAGAGAAGGGGTTTCACTGTCTGGTCTCGAACTCCTGACCTCAGGTGATCCGCCTGCCTCGGCCTCTCACCATTCCGGGATTACAGGCATGAGCACCGCGCCAGCCAGCCCACCATTTTAATCTCAAAGTCTAGTAGCCCTCAGTCGGACTAGATAGCGTGTGGTGATGCCTGTCCATTTGCAAAAGCCATCTTGCCTTCTTGTTGGGCTTGCTCTTCAGGCCGACTGAAAGCATTCAGGAAGGAGACGCGTCGGATGGCCCTGCGCCGGAGCTTGGGCTCGGAGCGAGCTCAGGCACCAAGACTCTGTTAGGAGGTGCTGTGAATCACCCCGGACCATTTGTCAGGAGACTCCAGCATCGAAGGGGGTCCCAGGCAGTGTCCTGCTCCCTGGCCGCTGACCTCACTGGCAGCACCTCCTGGTCTCTGGAGGAGGCAGCGCAGGGACGATCACAGAAGCTGCAGAGCCCCACTTCTGGAAATGACAGTCTTCGGGGAGCCGTTTCCTTTAGGGCTTCTTGAAGTGACCACAGGTCCCGGCGCAGCCGGCACCCTCCAGCGCATCTGCTACTGCACAGGAGTGGCAGAGCGCCGGGTCAGGATGCTGGTCGGCCCTGCACTCGGTCTCTTGGGGAGTTGCCGACGCGTTAATGGAAGATGTGGGGGCCCCACTTGGGGATGAGTTTGGGGCTGACCGCTGTGCTTTGTCGCCTGGTGGACAAGCGCTGAGTCACTGGGCCGTGCCCACAGGGGGCCGTTGTTGGGAAAGGTAGTGGGTGGCGCTACACACATGTGGTGAGCCAGGCCAAGGGCCCCACCACCCTCCCTCAGGGCAATGTGACATTTGCACAAGGATGGGCAGAACCTTCAGGATGTCCCTGGACATGGGTGCTGCGTCCCACGTGGAGTCGGGCTGAGACAGGCTGTGCCCTTGGCGTCTGTCCACGGGGACCCTGGCTGAGAACGGCAGTCTGGTGAGAGGATGGGAGCTGAAGAAGCTGCACCCAGCTCCGCTGCCGTCAGGTCCCCCGTCCCTGACCAGTGGGGATGGGTTCCAGGAAAGCTGAGTGTAAATGGCATTTTGGTGCAGCTGGCACCCAGATAGAATTTGATTGCAGGTGAAATTTACCTTGTACTTTTCAATTCATTTTTTGCTGATTTTAACCCATCAAAAGCAGCTTGGGTGTTAGTTGTGATTTGGGGAGAACCTGCCCGACGCATCTGCTTGGGGGCTCACCCCGCTGCCGTTCCCTGTGCGGCCTCGGGGTCCTCCTGTGCCCAGCAGACTGGAGAGCTGTGGCCAGGCACGGAGTGTCTTCCCTGGGGGTCTCATCTTTCTAGTTTTCATTGCTGTGTTCCATTCCTGCGAATGGTGCTGTTTATACTTCCTGCAGTCTCTGGAAGGCATGTGCAGCTCTTCTGCTGTGCGGACGCAGTCTGGTTTCTGACTGCAGTGAGCAGGTGTGTGTCCAGATCCGTAAGCGCTTCAGGCTTTGCCTGGCGTGTGGAATTTGACCCACATGGAAGGTCCCGGTGCCGCTGGCCTAGGGAAGCAGCCAGGCCTGCTCAGCCCTGCAGGGATTGGTGAGGGCACAGGCAGGCGGGGGGCGCTGGCAGGATGGAGCTGTCTTGGTGGTAGTAGGGGGGCAGATGTGTCCACAGCAGACACCTGGGCCGGACTCAGATGTGAACAGTTCAGCTTAAGAGAAGGCCCCAGGTGGCGACATACCCCCAGGGGTCTTTGTACCTCCCAGGCCCAGCAACGAGGGGAGGACACGTGGTGGGTGATGGCTCCGTGCAGTGAGTGGGGTGTGCAGGCTTCCCGCTGATGGAACCACCAGGCCTTCCGGCCAGCGCTGGCCCGTGGTGCCGCTTCCTGCCCTCCTGTCACCGTCACCGTCACTGTTCCTGTCACCGTCCCTGGCCCCGGCAGGCTCGTCCTCCCTGGTGTGATGCTTTGCTAAACTTCCACCCTTCCTCCGTCTTCCTTCCACCTGGCTCTGCCAGGTGAGATTGCTATCTTGTGCTGACCTGACTCCCTGGGCCCAGGACCATCCCTGGCAGGCATGCGACGGGAGCCAGCAGCCCGGGCCCCAGAGCCCTGTGGGGTGTGGGGAGAGGCAAGAAGGACAGCGTCTTGGGGCCCTGGCAGCAAGTCTCTGAGCACTGGCAAAGGGCCTGTGGTGTCTACTGGTGTCTGGGAGTCACTAGAGGGTCAAAAGCATTAGGCTTCACCAAGAAAATCAGTTAGGGTTAAACTGACGTCAGATTTAGAACTGAACACATGCGTCTCCACGCTGAAGAAGAGAACAGACGTTCAGAGTAACGTGACGAGTCCTGAAGAGCGGCCCATCCGAGGTGCTGCCGCCCCTGCCGGGCTGCCGTGGAGGGTGCCGGGTTGCCTGCAGGTTGCGCAGCGTGTCGACTTGTCTTGGATGCGATGGGTTGTCTTTTATTTTTTCTTTTTTTTTTAAGCTGGAGTTTTGCTCTTGTTGCCCAGGCTGGAGTGCTGTGGTGTGATCTCAGCTCACCGCAACCTCTGTGCCCGAGTTCAAGCGATTCTACCTCAGCCTCCTGAGTAGCTGAGATGACAGGCGTGCGCCACCACACCAAGCTAATTTTGCATTTTTAGTAGAGATGAGGTTTTTCCATGTTGGTTAAGCTGGTCTTGAAGCCCCAGCCTCAGGTGATCCGCTCACCTCAGCCTCCCACAGCGCTGGGATTTCAGGTGTGAGCCACTGCGCCCAGCTGCAGCCTTTTTTTTGGGTGAGGATCTTCCTCTGCTCACTGTAATGTCAACCTCTTAGGCTTGAGCGATTCTCCCACCTCAGCCTCCCTGTTAGCTGGTGTTACACACTTACGGCACCACACCAGCTAATTGTTTACTCATTTATTTATTTATTTTCTGAGATGGGGTCTGACTCTGTCACCCGGGCTGGAATGCAGTGGTGCGATCTCTGCTCACTGCAATCTCTGCCTCCGGGGTTCAAGCGATTCTCCCACCTTGGCCTCCTGAGTATCTGGGACTACAGGTACGCACCACCACGGGCCTGGCTAATTTTTGTATTTTGGTAGAGACGGGGTTTCACCACGTTGGCCAGGATGGTCTCAGTCTCTTGACCTCATGATCTGCCCGCCTCGGCCTCCCAAAGTGCTGGGATTACAGGCATGAGCCACTGCGCCCAGCCAATTTTTGTATTTTTAGTAGAGATGGGGTTTAGCCATGTTGGCCAGGCTGGTCTCCATCTCCTGACCTCAGGTGTCCCGCCCGCCTCATGAGCCACTGCTTGCCATGAGCTTTTCTTTCTGCAGGACTTTGGTTCTGAGCAGCTGAAGGACCAAGCTCCTCAAAGATGATGTGGGTGTCGTAGCTGCTTCTAGGGGCCTCAGGGACACAGGAGGGACCCCGCGTGTGTGGGAAGAGACACATCGGGCAGGTAGGTGACTTAGGTGCTGCTGTCACAGGAACCAAGGATGCCTGGCAGCTCGGGGTCAGATGTCTTTTCAAGTTAAACCTTAGATCAACCACTCAATGTATTATAAAAATAATTTTTGCTACCCAAGAAGGTATATTTTAGGTAATCTGAGCTTATTTAAATAAATTGACAGAACTGAAAGTTGAATGTATCACTCAGAATTCCTGAGTCAGCCAGGCTGTTTCTCTGAAGTAGAATTAAGCAGTTACTTGTCCCCGACCACCGGGAGTGGCTCAAATGAGCTCCCACAGACCAGGGAGCACATGTGGGGATTCAGTCACTATCTCTTTCTGGGGATGTGAGCCTTTTCCTGGGGACCCCCTGAGGCCAGGCATGGCCACTGTGAATGGCGGGAGGGTGCCCCTGCCCAGGCCTCAGAGGCTCCTGTGGCCCCTTCCTGTGACTGCTGGGGCCTGTGTGTGTCAGCACCCGCCCCAGGGCCTCCTTTCAGCTGGGCTGGACGCATTCAGGCGTCATCTGTGCTCCGCCGTCGGGTCGGTCGTCACGGGAGCAGAGGGAGGGTGCAGCTGTGGAGACCGTGCCTGAGGCCAGGGGCAGACGGAGAGGTCCCAGCAGAAGGTGTCAGATGCTGGCAGGGTCCTGCAGGCCTTGGCCCTTCTCGCAGAGTTGGGGCTCGGTGGGGAGCAAGCGCCTTCTGTCCCCCACTTTGTTTTCTGTGGGACCTGCCGGGACTGTGAGGACCGTGGCCCACACCTGAGCTGTCCAGGCCTGCGTCCCTGCTGCCCTTGCTGTGGGGCTGGGAAGGGGCCAGGTGCCAGGACACAGGTGCTTCCAGGCTGCATACACAGTGCCTTTTCCCTGATGTTCCTTAACGCCCGTGTGTAGCTATACACAAAACGGCATTCTGCACATGCTGGACAGGAATAAGAGGATCAAGCCGCGGCCGGAGCGGTTCCAGAACTGCAGAGACCTGTTCGACCTGATCCTCACCTGCGAAGAGCGAGTGTACGACCAGGTGGTGGAAGGTGAGGAGGCCAGCCCTGCGGCGCTCACCAGGGTCCGGGGCGCCTGCACGTCCCGCCCTGGCTGGCACATCCCGTCTGGAAGGGGGGTCAGGCCTGAGTGCAAGCACGTGGAAGGCAGGCCAGGCTGCTGGCCGCTGGCTTTCTGTTTATGAGGCCTGTCGGAGCGGAACCATGGGTGCTGGCTGCAGCCGCTCATGGGCTCCAGGGGTTTGGTTCTTGTCGCCCAGGCTGGAGTGCAGTGGTGCAGTCTGGGCTCACTGCATCCTCTACCTCAGGGGTTCAAGCGATTCTCCTGCCTCAGCCTCCTGAGTAGCTGAGATTACAGATACCTGCCACCATGCTCAGCTAATTTATTGTAGTCTTGGTAGAGATGGGGTTTCACTGTATCGGCCAGGCTGGTCTTGAAGTCCTGACCTCAGGTGATCCACCCACCTCGGCCTCCCAGAGTGCTGAGATCGTGGGCATGAGCCACTGCGCCAAGCCCCAGGTCCGTATTTCACAAGTGGACCCTGTGTGGAGCTGGGCCTGTGGTCAGGGAGGGCGGGGAAGCACAGGCCGGCTTGTGCTGAGCTGGGGATGTCCTGAGGTTTGAGGCTCAGTCCTTACCTGGCTCCCAAACCACAGAGTCCAGAAACCGCTGGGGCTGGGCCAGGGGCCGGCAGAGCTGGGGACTGGGACACATTGACTGCCTGTTCCCTGGTCTGGAGCCTCTGACCTCTGTGTCACCTTGTCCCAATCAGATCTGAATTCCAGAGAACAGGAGACCTGCCAGCCGGTGCACGTGGTGAACGTGGACATCCAGGACAACCATGAGGAGGCCACCCTGGGCGCGTTTCTCATCTGTGAGCTCTGCCAGTGTGTGAGTACCAGGCCTGGCACCACGCTGGGCAGCGGCTGTGCTGGGGCAGTGAGGCCTGAGGCTGGCCCTGCTGTGGGGGCGGGGTCTCCTGCTGCACTGACCTGTGTTGGGGTGCCTGTTGGCGGCTCAGAGAGAGCTGCTCGCTGGCTTTGGAGTAGGAACCCCCTCTCGCCCTTTGCTCAGCTGACAGACGCAGTGCAGTGATCTGCCCAACACAAGCGTAGTCCCTCTCCCAGGACATGGGGCTCCAGGGAGGGCCTGGCACCGCCTCTTCCTTGGGGGGGACACAGCCACACCTCAGCCGGCAAGGCACGTGGCGCTCCTGGGTGCTGTCAGTCAGAGGTGTGTCCCACGTGAGCCTGGAGGCCCCAGGGTGTCTGCCGCCAAGGGCTGTGTGTCCGCAGTCCACCCCTGGACTCAGCCTTTTGCATGCCCGTCTTCTCCAAGGCACCCTGTGTCCCCCCTGCACTGAGGGGCCAGGGGGCACCCCAAGGGCTTCTGCAGCCCCACTGCTGCCTTGCTGAGGTGCTGGGGTATGATGGGAGGGCCTGCTGGGGAGAGCCCCACACACTGACCCGCCTCTGCCTCTGGGTTCTGTGATCAGATCAACTGTCAAAGACGGAAAAAGCAAACAGCCCGACTGAGAGAGGAGACGGTGCAGTGGGGAGGCCCCGAGCCAGGCCACCTGCGCTGGGAGAGGCTCCTGCCTGCCCACCCAGCACGGCCTCCCGGTCCAGTGTGGCTGGAGCGCCAAGGACGGTGCTGGTGACCACCTGGTAGGAGGGAAGGCCGCTGGGAAAGTCTCATCCCAGAAGTGGCTGCTCGATTTCTGCTCGGGTCACGTTGGCCAGAGCTGAGTCACAGGCAGGCCACTCCTGGCTTAGAGGCACTGTGTGCTGCCCAAGGCTGGGGATCTGGCGACACTGGCAATGGCGAATGACAAGCAGCCGGGGCCAAGGCCGTGTGCTCAGGAGCCCGCGCTGCTCACTCCAGGCAGCAGGGCCTCTGGCAGGTAGAGACCAGGATGCTGCCAGGACACCCAGTGACCGGGCTGCCCCACCGCGGGGCACCGGTCAGGGTCCTTGCTCGCTGGCATGTGGGAAGCGCTGCGGTGAGGCTGGCCGGCCGTGCTGTACACGAGTGGGCCTGGGCCCCCGCCTCCCAGTCCGCTTTCCGCTCCCAGCTTCAGGCTCTGTGGGGCCAGTGGGGAGGTGAGGCAGCAGCAGCGGTGCAGGTGGGGGCCTGTCCGTCACCCGGCTTCCCGGCCCAGGCGGGGGTTTCCCTGGCCGTCCAGGTGCTGGCTGGGAGCAGACGGGCGGGGCGGGCGAGGCCCTCACGGCGGTCCTGTCCTTGCAGATCCAGCACACGGAGGACATGGAGAACGAGATCGACGAACTGCTGCAGGAGTTTGAGGAGAAGAGCGGCCGCACCTTCCTGCACACCGTCTGCTTCTACTGAGCCCAGCGCCCGGGCGCCCTCTCCAGCTCCCTTTTGTTCATACTTTTCCTTCCTGATGTTGTTTTCACTTACAGGTGTGCAGCTGGTGACGGTAGCATTACCCAGATAAACTGCATATGACAGGGGAGAGGTCTAAATGCCACACGAAAGCAATCAAGTTTTTTCCTTCCCACTTTTACTTAACGAGCGGGATATTGATTTTAGTTTTTTTCTTTAACCGAAAAGGAAAGACAGCGGTTTGTGTTCACTTCCCGGCCGTCCCTGTGTCCCCGTGTGCCTGCCCCCTCCCCCCTTCCCACCCACAGGCAGTGTTCAGTGACCTGGAATTGTCTAATAAATAGATGCTGCTGTCACCTGTGCCTGGTCGTGAATTCCTGGCCCGACCCTGGCCCTGAGGAGGTGCAGAGGCCCAGCCCTCCGACCACTGCTGGGGGGTGTAGCTCAGACCTGGGGTGCTGCTGGAGCCTGGGCCGACCCAGCCGTGCGCTGCCTGAAGCCGGCTGCTCCCACCAGCATTGCTGCCTGCGGGGGAGCCACCTCTCGGCTCCACGTGGAAACTTTTCACCCCCCGACCCCCCGCCGTGGTCGGCTGTCCCCCAGGCCACCTGCCGGAGATCTTGAGCCCCAGAGTGAGAGCTGCAGTGAGCCTGGATGGCACTGCAGCCCCCAGGCTGGTCCCAGGCACTGCTTCCCCCTAACTTCCTGCTGGAAGGTGGTGGGGGCTCCTGTATCTGAGACGTGGTCACTGGTTTTGGATGAGAGTTTGGTCCCACAGCAGAGGTGGCCACTTGGGCCTCTGAGTGGCAGGTGAACCCCCGTCCCCTCCCTAAGGGAAGCCTGTGCAGGGCGGCCGTGCCCACACCTCCTGTGCCACCTCCCCCCCCTTGAGGATTCCAGGGGTCACCCGTCCCTTCCCTGTGAACCCCCGCCCCATGGTTCCATGCACCCTGGAGGCACGTGCAGCCCCGCACCTGGCGACCCGGGGAGACGACGGAGGGCGGAGCAGTGGGGCGCAGTGGGGCGGAACGGGCCTCGGCGCCCCTCGGGCCAGATCGGGTTGGGACTGGCGTCCTGGGACCCTGGACAAGCGACGGGGGCCGGGTCTGACCAGACTGGGGCGGGACAAGAAGCGGAGGTTCCCGGGGGGGGTCCCCTCCCCGCGCCGGCGCTGGCATGGAGCGGCCCGCGGGCGGCGCGGTCCCTCCCGGGAGGCGGAGGAAGGCGGCGGGAGGGAGGAGGGAGGAGGAGGCAGGGAGGAGGCCGAAGCCGAGCCGAGCCGAGCCGAGCCGAGCGCAGCGGAGCGCAGGGAGGACCCGAGGGCGGAGCGGAGCGCGGCGGGCCGGGCCGAGCGACCCCCGAGAGGCCCCACGTCCCTCCGCGGCCCCCCCGTGCCTCCTCCCCCCGGTCGGCGCCGGGGTTGCCGCGAGCGGCGGCGGCCGATCCTGGGAAGCGCTGACCTCTGCGGAGGCGGCGGGGGCTCAGCATCGGGCCGGGGCCGGGGGGGGCGCCGGGGCCGGGGGGCGGCGCTCCGGCCCGGCCCGGCCCCGCCCGATGTCCATGAGCGCGAACACCATGATCTTCATGATTCTGGGGGCGTCGGTCGTGATGGTGAGCGGAGGGGCTTCCCGCGCGCGCCCCCTGCTCCCCACCCGCGCGCGCCGCCCGCCCCCACCTCCCGCTCCTTGTTTACCGCCCGTGCGGCCTGCGCTCCCCTCCCTCCCCGGTCTGCGCTCCCCCCTCCCCGGCCTGCGCTCCCCCATCCCCGGCCTGCGCTCCCCCCTCCCCGGCCTGCGCTCCCCCATCCCCGGCCTGCGCCCTCCTCCCCAGCCTGCGATCCTCACAACCCCTGCGCTCCCCCTGTTAAGGCCTACGCTCCCCCCACTCCGGCCTGCGCTGCCCCCACCTGCCCTGCGCTCCCCACCCCCAGCCCGCGTTCGTCCCGCCCGCTCCCTGGCGCTGACCGGTCATGGGCTCTTCCAGGCCATCGCGTGCTTGATGGACATGAACGCGCTGCTGGACCGATTCCACAACTACATCCTCCCGCACTTGCGGGGCGAGGACCGCGTCTGCCACTGCAACTGTGGCCGGTGAGTCCGCAACCGATGCCGGCTCGATACGCGTGAGCGCACATGTGCGGCGGGGCCCACTGGGGCGCAGGGGGGCCAGCCCCACGCGGGCCGCGAGCCGCCTTCCACCCTGAGGGCTGCCAGCCGTCTCCCCGGGGTCTCCTGGGGGCGCATGGCTTTAGGACACTATCCTGGAATGCCTTTAGAGGCCTCCATGGTGGTGGTGGAATGGGTCACGGGGCCTCCTGGTCCAGCCTGGAGGCCGGGAAGCCATAGCCCAGTCTGGTGTCCACAGCGGAGACCCAAGCCAGCCTCATCAAAGCTGGGGCAGGAAGCGCCTGCTGGCACAGGGCTGGGCCCTGCAGTGAGGCCCAGGGCAGGGGAATGCGGGTCACGGTGGGAGGGGCCTGCCTGGAGGGGCACTGGGCTGAAGCCCTTGGCTGGAGAGGAGGAGCTGAGGGGTGGGCTGGGGGTGGGCAGTGGGGAGGCGGGACTTCCTCAAGGTCACTCAGATTGAGGGGAGCGCCCAGACCCCCCACACCCACCGTGTGAACCCCTCTGTGCACGTGTAGTGATGGAATCTTCCTGGCCATGCATGTTTGTATGTCCATGTACGAAATAAACATCTTCTCATGAGACGCGCATGTGTGTAGCGTCTGTGCATATACATGTGCGTACACACAGCGCCCGCGCACGCACGCATGCACTCCCTCAGGACGCCCTCACTCAGTGGCCGCTGTTAACCCTGCTATATGAGGAAGTGGACAGAGGCCATAGAGGACAGAGTTGCCCAAGGTCACACAGCTAGTGAAGGGCAAAGGGGGCATGAACCCAGAACCTGTGTTCTTCATCTCTGCCGCCTCCTGCTCCAGGGTCTCTGTGCATATGTGTGGGGGCAGGGTATGTGTGTTCAGGACAGCTGCATGTCTTGCTAAGCGTGTTACCTGCCTATGGGTGGAGCCGGTGTGTGGATGAAGAACACGGGTGTTAAGAGAAGGTAGAGATCGAGGTGTCCGTGACCCTCGTGTGTGCTGGGCGCAGGGTGTGGCGTAAGAGCTTGCGGGGTGGCCGCGTGCTCCTGTCAGGCAGGTCTGACTGCTAAGCCAAGGCCTGAGGTCCGCTCCAGGCCTCCCAGAGGCTGGGCCTAGACCCCGGCTCCGGAGCATCAGAAAGGTGCAGCCCCCGTGGGCGTGGGCCGTGGCAGCGCAGTGAGGGCTCGGCAGGGCAGGCGGAGGGCACGCTGCGTGTTGCACAGGGGGTTTAGGTGCATCTCACAGAGCAGCGCCCAGACTACGCGTGGACTCAGAGTGCGCTGAAGGCAGCGTGTGTGGGAAACGGCCACAGCCTGCTGTAGATGGTATTGCCGCGCGTGTGTCTGTGTATCTGTGCTCTGTTCACATCTCCACATACAGGATATGTACATTCCGCGTACAAAATGCCCTTGTATATTGGCAACATATATGTGTATGCAAAGTACATGTATGTCACAATATACAGTGCCGTGTGCTCAGGGACATGTCAGAACGTCTCCGTGTGGGTGCCCGTCTGTGCACGCTGGTGTGCAGAGCGAGTGTGTCCATGTGCAGGCCTCGTACGTGCCCGTACGTAGACTTCGGCGTGTTGCCAGGCAGCATCCGAATGTGGCACAAATCCGCGCACGTGGTGTGGCGGCCCCGGAGAGGGTGTCTGCTCGCAAAGCCAAGCGAACTGCCCCTGCGCGTGGTGCCCGCCGTGTGGAGCGGGCTGTGGAGCGCCCGGCCCATGTCTGCAGTATCACACCCTGTCCCTGCATGTGGCGGTGTGCATACGTGACATGATTGGCCCTCAGTGGACACGCAGCATGTGTGGCTCAGGAAGGACACATGTATGTACGTGTCACAGACATACGTGTGCAGACAGCACATCTCTGCCCAGGCCTGGCTCATTCTGCTTTCACTTGGGAGACCTGAGCCCCGCAGAAGGAGGGCCAGGTGCAGGGTGAGGGGAGCTGCAGGAACCCAGGCCAGCTGTGGGGGCACAGGCTGTGACCTCTGACCCCCGAAGTTCCTGAACCCCTGGGGTGGTTGGGCACTCACCAAGGGGTCAGGAAGCGCTTCCTCCCCTGAGGGCCTCTGGCAGCTGCACATTCATCAGTGGCGATGGACGATGGCTGTGGACAGCCTCGTCACCGGGTGATTGGTGGCCGCCAGCTATCAGCCAGGGTCACTTCCTCACCAGGAGCCCTGTGTTCCCGATATGCTGAGGGGTCTGACCTCCGGGGTCCCCGGAAGAGCAGGAGGGCTCCAATGAGAGCCTGGGGCAGGGCCACCTCCTCCCTGTGCCTGGGCTCCAGCTCCAGGACCCCCACGTCCCGCTGCGGGAAGCCGCCTGTGTGGCCTCCACTGGGTTGGACAGACAGGCTGGGCTTTCAGCATGGGAAGTGCCCCTGGGTGGGGTGTGGAGTAGGGGGTGCTCTCTGGGTCTTGGCTGAAAAGCAGGCCGAGGCTGATACCTCACCAAGGGGAGGGTGGGGGAGAAGCAGGTTTGGGGAGAGAGGAGCTATTTTTATGCCCAAGTTGAAGGTGTCTGTGGATCCCACGTGGAGACACAGGCAGCTGGAGCTCAGCAGACGTGGGAGGCAGCCAGGAGGGTGGATCCCAAGGCGTCCTGGGCGCTTGGGGCCTATGGCCTCCTCTCCCAGGCCCTCCCATTGGCCTAGGAATCCCAGAGTCTGCTGTCTGGGGTGCTAGTCGGTTGGCAGAGCCAACCCACCTGAGGCCTTCCTGGGATGGGGTGGGCTGCTGGAGTGAGCCCCATGGGGAGCTTCAGTGTCGCCCCAGCAGTGAGAGGCCTGAGGCTGTGGTAGCCTGAGCCTGGGCAGTCCCCCAGGAGCCCAGGGAGGGGAGATCAAGGGACACGGAGGTGCCAAGGCCTTGAGAACTACAAGGCCCTGGAGCCTGGACGCCGTCCATCCTGGGAGCAGCTGGGCAGGGCTGTGCCAGGCACAGGCAAGGGGGCATCCCCCAGGAAATGAAGAGCACAGGGTGGTAGGCAGAGTCCCTGTGGCCTGACAGCACCTCCCAGCGACAGAGGAGCAGAAGGAACCTGAGAAGCAGGAGGCCCGGCCCTCAGGGGGGCTGCCGTGGAGAAAGGGGCCCCGCAGGCGGTAAGGGTGCACAGGAGGGGCCAGCGGTCACTGGCAGTCCAGCTCCGCTCCAAGTGGCCTCCGCAGCCCCGAGCTGGGTGGGTGAGCCGTGACCCTGGCCGTGGGGACCGCCATCCCGAGCCCCTCCCGAGAGGCCTCTTCC